GTTCACCTAAGAGAATTTGGAAGATTTTGAGTTCTATATATCGCCTTAAGAAATACATCTGATCGAACGGAAGAAAAAGTGGCCGATCAAATTTCCAAGTTAGAATTTTTTTTTGCTTTTTTCATTCAAGCGAATGTTGTAAATCAATCACGCTCAAAATGGTTCTATAAAATTATATACTTTCGCCTAAACGTTTCCCTCTGTTTGTTCATGTTTACTGTTCTAGGATGTAATTTGTTTGATTGTAATTACGACTTTGTTAGTTGTAATATAATTATATAATCGCAATTATTTGAAAGAATGGAGAGTAGGTCAGTTATGAACTTCCACTTACGTTCAGCCATAACATAGCAATACATTGCAAAAAAAAAACCGTCAGCAGGAAGTACCTAACACCGGCTGCACATAGTTTCTGCAATCACGACCAACCTCAGTTCGATCAAAACCGTCGTATTCCAGATCGGGATAGCCGAGGAACATGCACTCCAAGTCATCGGTTTTCTGGGCCGCTGACGATACGGCCGTGGCCAGTAAGGCCAACCCTAGTATCCGGCACCAGATCATCTGAACGCTTTTTTCTTGTAAAAGTTGGATGAAATGCTTGAGCGCAGAAACGATGGCAAGCTAAGATGTTGCATTGTGCTTTTATATCAGAACTTGAGCCGAGTTTACCAAGTTATATGTACATAGTGCGATAGAGAAGGCTGTCTTAGTTCACTCAAGCTTTTAGAATTTCAATGCAGCTGTGGAAAAACAATGCAAGGAATAGTCATTGGATAAAAGCGTGACTATTTGGCCTGAGAATGAGGGTTGGTCTCATAGCGATAGTCCATAAAATAATATGTAAGTACATAAGAAAGTTTGCGGGCGTAGGATAAGCAGAGGGTTTAAAGTGGCGGAACAATTATTGTAAAAATGAGTCGAGGGTTGAATGGTGGGGATGGCCTGGCTGCCGAGCCGAGGCCACGGCCAGGAGAACAGGCGGCAGACCTTTATCAAACGATAGGGGGGGAGGGGG